AATGATAATTTACTTTTTTATAAATCTTTCTTAAATTTTTGTATAATTGAGATATATTTTTTACAATCTAAAATCATTTTCTTCAAATTATCTACAAGAACAATGTCGTTTACCATGGTCATTCATTTAATATAGATGTGAAGAAAAATATTTTATGTTCCATAATTACAAATTTTAGCAGATGTATCTATAAATATCCAATAAGAAAATTCAAAACTATATCATATGTTCTAAATTAGTATGATTATTTCGAAAACAAATAATTAATTCGATAAATAACTTTCCTATGAAACTAGATCGCGACACAAACTTGCATGTCGAGTCCATTTAAATTCTGATTGGATTTATTTAACATAGTATTGAAGTAGATTAAAGCAATTTCACGAATATTTGCAATTGATTAGAATTGAGGTTTATGAAATCATAACATGCAAACATCGAATCGTATATTCCTCAAACTGAATTCCTAGATTTGCTGGGATATTAGAGAAACTATGCAAACTCAAGTTTAGTGTCGAATATTAACGTTGACCAGCAAATGTCCATTACGAAGTTTCGGATGTGAAACGTATTTAAACGTCGTTATAAACATTTAATTTAAATACACAAAATTATGAGGATTATTTATCCAAAATTCAATTTAGGCACATACTGCCATAAATAAAAATATAGTGCAATTTTTGTAATGAAATAATTCATTGATTAAATTGAATAAATATTTATTTATTCATAAATTTATTAAATTAATTTTAATAAATCAAACTCAATTAGCAACATTTTTTAAACATGCTGGCATACTAACTTTAATTTATTAAAATAATTTTGTTTGTAAATAAAAATAGTTTTGTCTTGTACAACCTGCGGAATGTACTTACAAAAATTCTGTTATTTTTGGATTTTTATTTTTTGAAGTAAAACTTCTTTAGGCGCGACTAGGGTGTAAATCCGTACAAATGCAACAGAAGTGCGTTACGGCAGATAAAATAAGATAAGAGTCGAGTGCCAATGATTCGTCATTCGCTCTCGATGATATCATTTCTATACGGGTCGATTGTGAGTAGTCGTCGTCTATGTGAATAGAGATTTGTCGTTGTATGCGTACCGATATCAACAAGGAAATCGGCATAGATAAATAAACATTTTAAAGTTACATCGTAGTACAAATGTTGATTTAATGAAAACTGCCTGAATCAGGAGAATATTTTACCCTGTCCCCTGTAAATAATTATAATGAAAATAATAAAACAAATGCAGCATTTGCGCCGTGTATAAAACATAAGTTTATTGAAATAATTTCTATATTATTCGTAGCTTCTATAAATCTTTCAAGTTATTGAAATGGAAAATATTTTTTAGGCAAAACAGATATTACAACCCCTATTCAAATTTGATCAATTTTGAAAATTTCAAATTCACAGTTGAACAATATGTTTTAATTCTTAAAAATTTAAGACAATTGCGTCATTATTTTTGACTGTGGTCCTAGAAATGTTATTTACGATTACGAATCTAGAGCTTAAATAAAGAAAATTAATAAAAATTAATCACAATAATCAAAAAATGTCAACATTTTTACCAAAGCTCTAGGTTGCACTTAGAAGCTCATAATTTCCAAACTAAGTAAGATACAATTTCTTTCATCATAATTATCATCAACATTATTATCTTGTTTCGACTTGACGTTGAATTCTGGAATACCATGTATGTATATACATTATATGTAAGTGAATATATATATATATATATATATATATATATAATTCATTTCCTACGTGCTTTGAAAAATCTCGTTCTTAAAAATTCAATTTACTCGAACGATTAATTAAATGTCAATAAAAAAGCTCTGAAAGAGAAACGATAAAATTCGCATAATCGCTGATTTAACTTCATTTGAAAGAAATTTGTAAGCTGTCAATTGAGCTTTTGTTCTTTTCCAAAGCTCTTCTGTTATATTTTTTTCGTTCATATATATATATATATATATACATACATACATACATATATATATATATATATATATATATTATATATATATATATATATATCGTCGAATTGAACGATATATAGGTCAGCCTTTTATTATTCGATTTCCATATATACCTAAGATCTTTTTTTATTCTCGTTTTCGTTTCTGAAAGTTTTCGATTTATTGAGATGCAATCAAACGGACTTATAAAGCAAATTGTAGTAAAAAGCTTTCACAAGTATTGGATATATATATATATATATATATATATATATATATATATATATATATATATACATATATATATATATATATATATATATATATAACGGTATATAAAATTTGACTGTTGTCTTTTTTAACTTCCCTCGCGAAAATGATAATTTTTATATATTTTTACATTTCGAAGGTTTCTAATCATTTTGGCATACCTTAGAAAATATTGATGTATGTGTGTGTGTGTGCGGATACAAAATTTCGTCGACGATTTCGTATTCATAAGGAGACGTGCTGATTAGTTTTTGACAAAGGCAGGTCTAGCCGTTTCGGAGATACGGGGCAAAAAGTGCCAAAAATGGTAACTCAGTTTTTGAAAGAACAAAACGACCGCTTTTAATAATTCAAAGAATAATTTATTTGTATTGACGTAATGCAGACCTTATTAAATTTTTGGGAAGGCAGGTCCAGCGGTTTCGGAGATCCAATAAAAAATGGTCAATAATGATCATTAGACATATGAACATCAAACTATTATATATTTTATAGAGATTTTAATGATAAGTATAAATTTTGTTTACATTTATATAGCTAACGTATTGCCATTGCTTTGAGAAAAAAATCTAAATTTCCAAAATACTTTGAAGCATAAAAAAACAATTTTTTCTCAAAAATCGAGTTCTGAAAGAAAATTGCTTACAAATTATATATTGCATAATTGGGGAGTATTCTGTTCTAGAATTTTTAAATAAATGATCGTTTTTCTGACTTATTTTCAAAGTTTAACTGTTGAAAATTATTTATACAATAGAATTTTATAAAATTAAAATCATTTTAGGAGAATAGTTTTTTTTTGTAACTTACTTTTTCGATACGATACCCATGATTTCCCAACTTTTACTGAACCGATTTACTTGAAGTTTCTACAGAATCTTCTCTATATCTATTCTTTTAAGTGTGCACTGTGCTCATACCCAAATTCCGATTTTTATTATTTTTTTCAAAAATGGAGAATATAAAAAATGGTGCAAAAATATGTTCAGATTAATAATATTTAAATCTATTTTTTTTTAGGATTATTTGGAAGGCTCAAATCATGGGTATTGCCAGGTGCCCACTTTTTGAGATCTCCACTTCAACCACTGCTAATTTTAAAAATTATTACCTTTTTTAATTTTTTTTCTCTACTCTTGCGAAGCTGATATCAACTATGAGCTATCATTATCGATGATTCACATTGACTTAAAAATGACTTAAAATTTATACCTCCAGACCAGAATAGACTCTTAAGAATGTGCTTCAACTGAACATCTTTGTAAAACCGTCTGAAAAAATAGATAATTAAGTAAAATTACAACTTTTTCCTCACAATTCTATCAATTACCATCAAAAACTATCCATTACAATCTGCATTCCGTCACATGGCATAACATATGCATTGTTGAGCCGTCGAAATCATTAATTCCATAGGGAATCGTACGTAACAAAATGACTAAAAACAAGTCGTGAGTTTCTTATCGCTCACGCACATCGTCCTGTCGTGTGTATGAACAATATTACGAAGGGACGACATTCTGATGTATTTAGACAGATATATATGGTCGTGATCGCCAGAAGGAACCAACGTTATCGGCTTCTTTCACACGAATAATAGATGGTAATAAATAATTTATTATGCAGACTTTGAATCTTACCAAGCGGTTGCTGGGGTTTGAAAGTATTCCATTGTAAGGATGGTGGTTGATGTATACTGAATGGGTGATGATTTTATTTTTAAATCGGGGCAAAAGAATAATAATTCCATATCAAAGGTGATACAAAATTCAAAGATGTCGATTACTAAAAGATACCCTAAGTATGTACCGAACTGGTTATTACATAAACATTCAGACATGAACACAATCAACCAAGAAGTATAAACACATTCAAACAAATACAAAAGCTGCCTTGAGGATCACCCAGACTCACTCGCCAGAGAACTATGTCATAATACTACCAAAGAAATATTAGAAAACAAATGTATGTAACAAAGGTCAGAAGATTTTGTGTTTTTGGAGTGATTTTTTTAAAATCCTACTATTTTACTGTTCTTCAGGACAGGTGTAAAAATTATGAAAATAATCATAGCTGAATAAGATACTTTACATTTATTTCTTGGATTATTGTATTGAAATTGTAAAGAAAACCAAAGCAGGTAAAAAGACCATCCACCAATATCTCAAAAACAAGAAGAGTTAAGAATTTTTTAACTACTATATTTGAACGTAGAGGGAAACGTATAAGAATTATAGTTACTTTCAAGCCAGTTTTAATATTCTTTAGTAACCTTTATAAAAGCTAACATGTATGCACTAACAATGGTGTAAACAATAAAAAATAGTAAATATAAATGCAAATAAAGCTTAGAAAGCAATTTTGCTAGAGATTAAGTTAAATAAATAGGTATTACAACTCAGCTGATGATTTATTCTGACAACATGCCAGATCAAGTGTTATCTCTGTGAAAAAGTACCCATAAAATTTATATTTTGCATTGATTGAATAACGAATAACTATTATTTCGTGAAATTAAAAATAAGATATTGGACTTTTTTGTTCCCCTGGCCGTCCTATTTTACCCTATGGGGTATAAAAGATTAGGTGACAAATTAAAAAAAACACATTTGTACAATGATGAATTAGCTGGGATGTTTACTGAACCTAGTCAGATAGTTTGACTATTGTTTGGTATGTGTATAATTGAAATTTCTAAATATAATTGCTGAAAGTCAAATGGGACCTTTGTGCCTCACCCTATACTGAATAAATTTTTTTCTAATAATCAATAATTAACATTTTATAAAATCATCATT